AATGGTGGAGAAGACAACTCCCGCTACTTCATGACATCATCAGACTTCATCTCATGTTATTGTTTTGATGTGAGACCCTTAGCAGCAGAAATGACATATTTTCCATTTGAGTATGCAGGATGCTGAGGGGACAACTTGCATGCCTGTTTAAATGTGTTTTCCCCCACTCATGTTGGGGTTCTATGGATGGCAAAGTCAGTCTGTCAGACTTTGGTCAAGAGCAACATATTGCAACGATTATTGGCCAGATATAGTCCTAAAATGTAGTCATAGAGTTGTGTGTTCCCCAGTATTGATTTTGGAGAACCTGATGACCTTTTCTAGTGCCTTCATCAGGTAAAATTTGCCCAACACATTGGTCCATGACAAAGGATCTGAAGGGCACACTGGCATCAAATTCACAAAAAACGTGAAGGCCAATTTACAGTTTTTGCTTTTCTTTAATAGTGGGCCGGTTGCAAGATACACGTTTACGAGTTCTCTGGATAATTAAAAAAACCCAGAACCCCTCAAATCTGGTGTATAAAGAGATGTGAGAAGACCTTTTCCAGGCACTGAGAGCAAAAACAGCACTGCATTAAAATACATGAATGAAATAGACTACAACCTTGAAGTCCAATAAATTAACCAACACTGAAAACCCTTCACAGTGCTTTATATTTACTGTGAACAAATGTGTTGCCAGGTATACTGTAGAACTGTGTTAAAAGTTATCTCCCTTGACTTCTACCCAACTATGACTAAAGGACTGAATATGTCAATTGTAACTGTTTTCCAGCAGCAGTCACAAGCTTTTTATGCATGCTGGCATTTGCAAGTTAGCTAAAGGGGAAAACCTAAACATGCATATACCAAATCCAGAAAGAACAAAACAGTGGGTAGACACAGAGTCAGCATAGTGGCCACTGCTGCAGTATGTCCACGAAGTGTGTTCTTTCTATACCTTTCATATAGATATGACATGGGTCTGCTCAGCGTGGGAAATTAGCAACCGCCAAATGCTGGTAAAACATGAAACATGAATCTTACCAATTTCCCATCCTGGAATGCATGTTGAACCCACAATGAGCCCATTCATCAGACTGCTTTCACAGGTTGTTGTGTGCTTGTCACTGTTTCAGAAATAAATAAAGTTCCCCCTTCAGTTAAACTTCTTTGCATCCAAATCTGCTGCGCTCTCTCTGTCGCTCGCCCACACTCTGTTTCTCTTCCTCTTTCTCTGGTTAGTTCAATGACTTCCAAGCCTCGCAATCAACAAATTAAGCTTCCATCCCTTCACCAATTCAACAGAGCATCAGGACTGAATTCGACCCTGTTTGTGAAAGGTAAAGACAATCCTCCGCTCAGCCTGGACTGCAGCCTGAACATAATCCACATCTTTTTCCAGGACAGGAAAATGTTTACAGGAATACAATGGGTCTAAATTCAGAAGGTTCAAACACCCAAACCTAAGACCTCATTTAGTACTGTTAATTCATTTTATAACATCAGTATCGGCGAATAAGGTGGCATTCACTTTATCAGTGGTTGATGTTTATCTGTTGTGTCGCACCAATTTTGTGCCGGCTAAAGGTTGTTTGGGGTTTTTCCAACTCGGATATTGTAGAAATAATCACCTCCGTTTTCCAGCACTGGCGCATACTGCACACAAATACAGATGTGCTCCATGCAGCAGCTGAGTGGCTGTCCAGCTCTGCGTCTCACATCAACAAGGAAGAGGTGCTTATCTTTATAGATGTACTTGTTATCTGGCACAACAGGGGAATAAATAACAAGAAAAAAATAGGTAACGGCCAAATTGTTATTGTAACATCGGTTTTGGACCTGAATTTCCCAGTCGGTGCATCCCTACTTCTGATATTCATTATGGGAGAACAAAATGAGTTTTCTTGCATCAGAAATATAACTGGAACTTGGGGTTAGAGATACCGTTCTCCAAGCCCCATTCAACAAGTAACATTTGTTATATTTCACAATAATTCACTAAGCCACATGGATGCTCACAACATCAAAAGCTGGCTTCATTCACTGCTTACATTCTGCACTAATTAGCAGCATCGGACTGTACACAGAAGCCAGACAGTGAAGCTCGATGAGATTTCAGCTACTTCGCTTATAGTCTCATGGATAACCTGGAAGTAGAGGGGGTGTAG